ATATTTTATTGTCTCGGTCTGTTAAAATTGAAGCTTTGGCTGTTTGGAGTTTAAAAAGAGAAACCTGAAAACAAAAGAAGAAAGAACAATTTCTTTAGTGGTTCCCAGACTTGGACACTTTTGATGAACTGTGATTTCTATTAAAAGTAATTTAAAACCCATCCTATTAAATATGCTTTGGCAATACCATACTTTTGTTTTAAATGTTTGTCCTTTTTGCATCTCAAAAGGAGCTGGCATATTTCCTCTTTAAGACAAAGGCTGTAGGTTAGCTGTAGTGAGCTGCTTTCTATTTCTTGCCTAATATTGGATTTCAGCTGCTTGAAGGTTCAGGGTCTTCTCTGCTAAATGTTTTAGATGGCTGGCAGAACCAAACACCAGGCAGGCCAATTTGAGCCGTTTAACTATGAAGTAATGATTTTGCTATGCAAGTTTAATGTAGGCTGGAATTCCTTTAAATGCTTTAGGTCAGCTGGTGTTTTTTTAAAATGATTCTGTTGTTTTCCTAAGAGTAATCAGCAGACATTTTGTATCTTATTCAGGACTGTTTTGTATGAGGGCGTTTTGCCCGAATACACTGCCGTGAAGTTTTTTTTTTTTTTTAACAGTCGTAGATAGAAAAGTAAATTTCTGGAAAATAAAACAACACTCTGAAACTTTAAACAAAAATCTGTTTTTCTTCTCTTTGTGTCTTTTTCAGGGTTAATTTGACATCTTTCTTTGTAAATAAAAATGTGACACACAGATGGTTTAGCAACACTAAGTAACACTAAGTGTATAATTTGACCCTTATATTTGATTTCAAAAGTTTGTTCATGTACTCAGTTACACGAGCAAATGTAACTGTGTACATTTGTTCATGTGACAAACGTTCATGTAACATGATCAAATTTACATCTTTAAAGATGAATTTAAGGATGTAAATTGATCTTTAATCGCCGGTAAGTGGAAAAAAGAAATGTTGCAAAAGTGGTCAACGTTTCCCCTTTTCTATTCTGAGTGTCAGACTCTTAATACAACCAGTTTAGTTTGTGGACCTGAAGAGTTGTTCTGTTAGCTTTCTTCCATTGACTCAACACGCTATTGATTGTTAACACTTCAGAATGTAAAAATCAGCAAAATTCCTAAGAAACATGAAAGCGTTTTCTATTTCAGCCTGTCTTTCTTCGGACAATTTCAAATATAAGAATTAAACGTGTTGTTTTTAACTATTTACTCCAGACTTTTCTAACTTTTTTGAGTTGCTGACCACAGAACATGTCCGGTGTGTCCAGTGTGTTTACTTTTACTCACCTTGACAGGACATGAAGATCCAGCGCAACCTGACACTGCTTTGGTAAAAGTTCCCTCCAGGTGAAATTAGCTGAAGCTTTCGGCCTGAACTGCCTGGCCTACAATGGGATTCTGTTTACAAGACACTGGCAAATAATAATGATTACAATATTTGTTTTAAAAGCATTAGATTTCTAGACGTGTCCAAATGCACAAATGGATCCACACTAATTGGCTTTTGGTGCCAAAAGTCAGAAACATGATAGGTGTCGAGAAAGTTGAGAACAAGTTAACAGGAGGGAGAGAAAGAGGAAGGCTGTAAAATCCTGTGCTTATTCTGTCACTCTGTCATTTGGTCAGGAAGGGGAGACAGTTTGTTGGACTCAAGACCGTCCAGCTTGCAGAGGGACTGTTGGCAGGTCCCCAACAGGGACAGTTGTGTGTGTGTGTCAGGCCTAAATATGTTCTCCAAGACTCCATAGTGAGTGAGAAAGCACAGAGACACATGTTTCTGGTCTGTGAGGACATAAAGACTCAGTTGTTTGAGACAGACCAGATAAATTCATCAACATCACCCCCATCAAGAAGCAAGAACTCCCTCTAATGGCTTGTGACACCTATTGACAGTTAAAGGTTACTGCAGCGAAATGGAAAAACTGTTTTTTTTATTTTCAAAAGATGTTGAAAAGACAGCATGACCAACATGTCTCATTTTTGTTGTGAAGAGCAGGAACGTCCCTTTCTTTCTGCGTCACCTAAACTAAAACCATGCAGACTTTAGGAAAAGTTTCAAAAACTCAGCCTAAATTACACCTTAACCGTCTTCTCCTTTTCTCTCTCCAGCAGGCAGAATGGTAATGACAGATCTTTTAAAACCTGAGGAGATCAAGAAAGCTCTTGATGCCTTTTCAGGTTTGTTACCATTTTATTCTCTCAAGATATAAGTGTTGGTCAGAATACTATTTTAACCCTCCCTCAATCTTAGGAAATGGGGTCATTTGAACCCTACAAGCTTTTCATCCGATGGCGCGGTCTGCCGGGGTCGCACTGAGCCTGCATGCGCTTTTACAAGTTTTTTTGTGTGTGGTTTTGGGAACCCCACACCAAAAGGAAAACACCAGCTGACCTTACGGTCAACCCTACATTCCTGCTGTCCGACAGTGACATCTGCTGCGCTTTTACTGAGCGTCGCTCTAAGATCGCAGAGGGTTTAAAAGCCTCTTCGAAAAGATGCAGCCAATCCAGACACTCTAAAAACTCGATGTGTCCTCTCCTTCAACTTTCCTAGCGGAAACCTTTGACCCAAGGAAGTTCTTTGAGATGGTGGGAATGAAGGCCATGTCAGCTGAAAACGTCAAGAAGGTCTTCCAGGTTCTGGATGTGGACGGTAGTGGATTCATAGAGGAAGAGGAGCTCAAGTGAGATCCAAACACAAAAATAAGGCTGTTTTGAAATGAGACGCACATGAGATATTGACATGTGTTATGCACTTTGTGTGTGTGTGATCTTTATTTGGAATAACGTCCGTTTGTCTCAGGTTTGTGCTGAAGGGATTTTCGAAGGAAGGCAGGGACCTGACGGATGCCGAGACGAAAGCATTTATCACAGCCGCAGACAAAGATGGAGATGGAAAAATTGGCATTGATGGTGAGAAGAGAAAGAAAGTCATACATCTTATTCCTAGGAAAGGAACAGAACGATACAACAAAGCGGGGTTCTTCAAAGCACAAGAGATTTTTTTTCTTAGGTTTGAAGTATTTAGATTTTTAATTCAGGTGCAATGAATTATAATGTTTTTAAGCTTTAAAGTAGCTTCTTAAATCATTCTTGATAAAATGTTTAGAAATCCGACTTTATGACGACAAACGGCTGCAAAGGAAGTTACAAAATGTTTCTTTATGTTAGCAAATAATGAAATATTGATCCTTTTATAATCTGAGCACTTTTCCACAATATAAAATGAACTTTTTAATCACAACATAGTGTAAGTCACTTTGAAAAAAAGGAGGATTTTCAAGCATAACGTAATGTGCATAATGAAAGAGAGTAATATGAGTAGATAACAATTCCTTCTTTACTTTGGTAAAAAATACAGGAACCCGTGTCAAGCTGTGATCACATGGTTTCTTATTTTGGCATGTATGTTGGTCCAACTAAAACTGTGTTTTAGGTTCATGACAAAGTACATTTTGTAAAACCTGAAATTCTATCAACATGCATAAAGCTTAATGATTACTCCGCCATGTTGGGTTGAATGCTCACTACTCAGTGTTCAGCTCATCAGGGCCTCCATTCTTAGAGGAAGCAAACAGAAAACATTCCCAACTCCACTGCCATGTCAGCCACTCCACACATTCAGCTTGCTCAGGCAAGTCGTCAGCGCAGACAGAGCATCTGCATAGTCCAGCAGGAGATGAGATTATATTCCTCAGCTCATTAGTAAGACATTTAGGATGAGAATTTAGTCGCAGTGATGGCTAAATCTGCATAGCAACGTACATGCTAAACGTTTTGGATGTTTTGACACCTCTGCAGAAGCCTGGCTCAGCCCAGTGATCCAGTTACACAGGCTACTGTGTGAAACAAAACGTTTATGCTGGAGTCTTATTTATGTAAAGACTCTCAAGTTTGCACATTCGTCAAGTGCAGAGCAAACACAAAACTGCATGGCAGGAGTGCGACTGTCAAAGCAATTCACTGTTAATCGACTAGTTTCAAAATTGCTTATGTCAAGAACTTTTCACCGAATTCCTTTTCTCCCACTACAAAGTATTGTTAGATATACAAACATTTTGAATCAGTTTGCTTTGGTTTTCCCTTATTTGGCACTTTGAGTTTCACTTCAGTTTAGAAAGTGCTGTGAAGTGTTTGACTTGATTATATTCTCAACTGAACTAACTGAACTAAAACTGCAAAGCTGTACGGTGGGTTTTAAATATTGTTAAACATTTAAGTACAAGCATGGGCTGGTATGGTGTTCTTACAGTGTCACTGAGTGAAATGCCACAGTTCCACTTAACGGAGATATTAACGCAGGTATGCAAGACGAATTGCAAAACTTGATCCAACTGCTTTTATTCAACACAAAAAATCAACAAATATCCAGGCTACTGTTTAATTATAACATGCTTAGAAAACAGCAACGACATAATAAAAACAGTTGCTAAGTGTTGTCTAGCTTCCACTTCATTGCCATTTTATAAAACATTTCAACATCTGAATCTGTTTTTTTCTGTAAGCGATGGAAAAGTGCTGCAGCCATCTTTCAGCTGGATTAATGCAAGCTCCACACAGTCCAAAAACTATTTCAGAAAACCTCACTTATAACTCTCAGGTGCGATTTCTGTGCCCCGCTGCTACATATAGGAATCATTTATGTGTGATCTGCAGTGTGTTGTGTTGGTGGACCAGGGCAGCGGTGCAGGTGACCCATTTGTCTTTCTCTGCATTTTCAGAGTTTGAGGCCTTGGTGCATGAGTAAAACGGGGTTTGTCTGGAATCCCAGTCGCCCCCGTTCTTCTTTCTCCGTCACTTCGTTTCCACATTTATAAACGCCCTCCTCCATTCCCTTCCCGCCTCCCTCCGGACCCCACTTACGGAGTCAGGCCAGGCCCGTTCTCTTCGGAGCGCTAACAGTGACGGGCGACCCGGGAGTCACACCGAAGAGAATCACACTGGCAACGCATCAGTGTCTCCTTCATAATTATTTTTTTTTATATATAAATATATTTGTTTAACTAAACATGCTGTACAGATTTAGGAATCATTACTTACGCAAATGAGGATAGTTTGTGATATGAAAACGGGTGGTGATAGTGCTGTAGGTGGTGTAGATGTTCAAGACTCCTTTAAGCTCAACTTCTTGCGCATTCTGTCTTCTTCGCTGGTTTTATTTCTGGCTGTTTGTGCATCAGATCACTTTCTTGCCACTGCTCTTCCTCCTCCACCCTCCCTGACCTTCCTCTTCTCTCCTCCGTCCCGTCCTCCACCTCCTCACTTCCAAACTCTGAACAGATGATGTGGTTAAAAAAAAAAAGAATCGTATGTAAGGAGAACTGTGAAGAGAGAAGACACCAGTACGAAATGATAATAAAAGAACATTTGAGATACCGTGTCTTCACTTATTGGTGCTCATAAAAGGTAACTGTCATAAAAGGAAGCAGCTAAAAACTTTTAGAAGACGGGGAATTCAATTTATTTGGTTTTGGTTGTATGTGATTTAACAAACTGATACAAATTTTAGTTTTAGTATGTTGACTGACTATGAGGCAGAAGGAATAATAAAACAGCAAGCAATATTCTCCCATTTAATGAGAAAAAAAACTACTTTTAGACAACTGAGTCTAAATGTTCCTTTTACAGCTGTCCTACATGAGACAAAAACAAAACAACATCAACTCTTAATTACTACACAGAGACTTGCTAAAGCAGCTTCTCCGGTTTGTGGTTTAAATAATTCAGATGGCGAGGTGTCGCTTTGCATTTTCTACACCGTGCAAAGCATTTCTCTGTCCATCAGAGTTCAGGTCTACCACGTCGCAAAGATGCACACGCTGCCTTCATGACCCAATGTCAGAGTTTGAGCACCAGACCTCTGCTCCGCTCGCACGAGTGACGGCCACTCAGTGGATCCGAGGAGCGGATCTGTCGTTGGTCGTCGTGGGGCGAAGCTTCACGGTGGCGAACGGGTTTGTGCCCCTGAAACGAGAGCGCGATGGAAAATGTTACACAACACCGCACGCGCTCAGCTGGCTCCTGCTGGCGCACGGCGAGGTATTCAAACATGTCCACACGATCCAGGTAAGGATATCCACACCACGGCGATCCGAACACAAGGCGCGCTCTGGTTCAGGAGGCTGCGCCGTTCGACCTGCTACAACCCAAAGGCCGAGCAGTTTGAGAAATGATCTGTCAGGATCAGGGCTGAGAACGCACTGTGGACCCAGATTTTCTGTTGCGTAATAAGTTGAGCTGCCGTTGCCGATATTTTTGTTATTTTGCAAAAGGTTGAGACCAACTGTAAACCACTCAAAACGAGAATTTGCCTTAATTAACAATTCTATCAAAACATGAGCCTCTAGTTCTAAAACCTTGAGTTCTTAAGTAATGGATCAGCTCAGACACAAGAATTTATGCAAACAGAGTCAGATTGTTTTGGTTTTTGATTTTTTTTTTTTTTGATTTTCTTTAGCGATGATTACTAATTTGGTTTTACAGTAGCTGGAAATGCCACAAAATCAAAGTGTTTTACAGAACATACCATTTGTGTCGATAGTACTCAGCAAATGAAATTTGTGCATCTAATAACTCTTGTTCTAAGTGCATCAAACAGTGATTTTACCTAAACACAGAGCTAATTAAACAGCTAGTAAAGTGCCTTGCAAACAGTGGCACGAAAAGTGAGTCTGCAGCATATGACACACCTGGGTGCTGAGCTAAAGCGGGCGCCAAAACAATTGGTGGATAAATACTTGTAGTCTTCATTTCTGTGTGAATGATATGATCAATAACAGAGGCACGGCACTGGTTGGGCGTCCATCAGCTCATTCGTCTCTGTAACTATCGCCCCCTTCCCCACATACGCCGGGGCACATTCGTTATGTGTTAATCGTGTTGTCACTGGACGACAGGGAGCAAAACATGGGGAGGCAGAAAAAAAAAGCAAGAGAGCAGAAAACAAAGGAGGAACTAGTTTGTTTGGAATAAGCTTGTGCTGTTTGCCACAAGCTTTGCTCGGAACACAAAGCTTTGACTCTGACTGGAGGACGGAATATTGAACTACATTTATATGTCCACGTCTTTCTTTTCCAACATGACAAATTAACCCCCCCGCCCAAAAAACAATATATACCAAATATTTTCTGGTATAGGTTTTGCTTTCAAATATAAAATTACCTTGGAAACAATGGGTTATCAGGCTGCCCATGTGGAGACAATGCCTAGTAAAAAAACAAACAAACAGAGTAAGAATAGAACACTTGATTTGTAAAAAACAGACAATGTAACCAAAAACACCTGAACATCAGCCGTCATGTCCCCCTTCCTGTCTGGGACGGGGGAGACGGATCGCACGTCCACAGAGCTTCTTCTGAGATTCAAGCTCTGCTGTGGAGGCGGCGGTGGGAGTTTTGTCTCTATCGCCGGTTCCGTCCGCCTGTCGGGCGCCGGAGAAACCGGCCGGACGTCCACCGACGCCCTGCGGTTGGGGGTCGCCGGGGATGGGACGTCGCCGTAACCCTTGACCTCTGGCTGTTCGGTGTGAGCGTCGGTGTCCAGAAGACTGTTCATGCTGTGACTTCTGAGAGAAACGCTGCTGCATTAAAGGAAGCATATGTGGAACAATAAGTACTATATATAGCTGAACTTTTTTCTTGGAGAGAAGGAATATGAGAAAGGCGAGAATGGAATGAAATTAATCTTTTATTTATTTCCAGCAAGTAAAACGTAAAGATAAAATCATTAGGAACACAAAAAAAATCTGTAATAATAATAATAATAATAATAATAATCAAACTTAAAACAACAAAGTTTTTATACCAAAAACAAAGACAAAGCTCATTAAATCCTACCCCCAACTGTCTGATCTATCTGTGGCTCATATCATACATATTTACACATATAACTGAATGGAAATGAGGAGAATGAGTAAGTATTTGGCCCTGGAGTTAAAAATGCATAAAAATGAGGATTGTTGAGAGACAGGAGTTCCCACCTGGTCGATAAAGTGTTGGAGAAATCTTCAGCTGGAGCCACATATGCAGCAGGAAACCAGCCCTGACTAATGAGACATGAAACAAAACGGATCAGGTGAAAGGCCAGTGAAATGTGCAGCACCTTGCAAGAGCACTCATAAACATCAGACGTTTTTCTTTTTTTAATCATCTTCCTTGCTAATCCAAGACTTTGAGACTTTTTTCTTCTTTTAGAATTTTTTTTCTTTTGTTCACTGTTATAAACTTTGTGTAGCTTTTTTTTGTGTTTGTTTAACTTGTTTTTTGTAATTTTGTTTATTTGTTATGAATTTGTTTTTTTTTTTACTTTATTTTTTCAGTTTTTTTTTCTTCACAGTCCTAAATCTGTTGGGTCCATTTCCATTCAGCTCCCTGAGTCACTTATTTGCATAACCATGCTCTGCTGTAATTACAGTTTTGGGATATATGTCTACTAGTTTTGTGCATCTTACAGGAAGAGCATCTTTGACCAGCGATATTCTAGTCCTCATGCAGGTTGTCAGATTGAAGCTCATCCAGAGTCAACAAGAATGAGTCAAAAGGTGAACAGCCACCTTGCCTATATATCCTTGTACAAAACAGGTGAATTCGCTGAACATGAGGATGAAGTATAATCAGTCTGTCACTTCTGGATGCGTTTGTCTGCACACAGCTCAATGATGACTCAGCTCACCGCAGGCTGCTTTCTGCGCGTCCGTACAGCCAGCCGTTTCGTGGTTCCTGGACTAGCACGATGACGGTCTCTCCTCTGTTAAAAGGCAAAAGCTTCGGATTGGATGAGGAGGGGTGAGACACCAGGGCTCTCATGGGCCTTCCTCCTCCCAAACCCAGAGACTCCCCCACTGAACTGGAGCGAGAGCGACTGGGAAGGGGAGATGGTGCTGGAGAAAGTGAACACCAGGGTGAAATCATAAAGTTAGAAAACAAAAAGCCTTGAAGGATTTTTGCTACTTTTCTGGGTTGAAATGTTATCCATTAAAAATGCATACTAAGATGCAACAGTAGCAGTCCGCATTTCCCTCTCTCACCTCTAGATGGCACTCTACCCAGTGCCAACTGCTCCCGCCTGGCCCAGGACATATCCTCGTCCCTGGCAACTGTCTGCAGCAGAGAGCTGACCGAGCCTCGCAGCTTTGCACATAAAACACACAGATTATAAATGAGACGAACTCCATGTCCATGCAGGGGGTTTAAAGGTAATCAGGAAGAAAATCTGATTGCGTTTTAGAGATAAGTTTATAGAAGTTAAATGATGTAGTGTGAGTGCAGGATTTGGTTAGAGAATATGTTCCAAGCAAAAAAAATTAAAAAATAAATCTGGGCTGCCGTTGAAAAACCGCTTTACTTTTTCCAACCCTCTCTTTTCAGGGCTTTCAGATTCAGTTAAAAGCCTTTTATGTAAATTACATGAGCTGAATTTGATCCATGACGGTAGGGGAAGTGACCTTTTGAGATTGTGTTCACTTTAATGCCGCAACAAAGAACTATGTTACAAAGTGATGACATAATTTAGTCCATCTGTGAGAGTACCTGCTGAATTCCCTGAAACGCTTTCACAGCAAGAAACATTTGTTAACAAAATCAAAGGCAGCTGATCATTTGATGATCAAGACATTTTAATTCCAGTCCTTCATGTTTCCACCTTCTATAAATGTGAAACGTCCATCTATCTATATATGATGACATGTTTGTCAGCAGCTCTGCTTAGAAAAAAGCATCAATGTCATTCCTGCTGTCAGCTCAACCTTACAGTTGCCGTGGCAACTGAACATAGTTACATATGTACAGAGTGAAAAATGTATTTTTAAACAAGTGAAACGTTCAAAGAATGCAAATAATGATACGTGATTGATTGTTCAATGAGTTAATAAGCTTAATAGTCTCACTAAGCATCCTAATAGTGCATTATCTAGTGAGCAACTTTGCTAATTATTAAGCTGGCAATTATTCTATCTATCTATCTTAGGAGACTTATTTATCAAAGCAGTATCACCTGGTCAATAAAAAAATAACTGACATTAAAAAAACAATCACAGTGTTAGCACCTGCGCCTCTTGATCTACATGAGTTGGAGTGCGTGATCTGGACTCCTTGGTCTCGTTCACTTTCTCTTTCCATCCATCTGCCTTCTGCTGGAGGGATCCGCCGGTCTGAAAGCAGACGGGGGAATTGAGCGCCTCATTGAATCACAAAAATAATCAGGGTGAAACAAGATTAGCGCATAAGCATTAGTAAATTAGAAATTTGCACATTGAGAGTTGAGTTTTATTAGATAAGCAAGCAATTAACATGATATTACACGGCTGGAACAGAAAAAAAAAAAAAAAAAATCAATGTGTTGGATGAAAGCAGCAGCACTGAGGCTGCAGCAAAATCTATCTCAAACACACCTGACTGGCAAAGTAGGCATCAGGATCAATAAATTAAAAAACATCCATAACCAACAGGGTTTCTGTCTCAACAAAACATTTTCTGTTATGCTACTGAATGAACACAGAAGTGGCAAAATAGATACAGTGCCAGAAGCCTCATGGACCCTGATGAACCCAAATTGAACGGAATGCCAAAGCAGCAGCATTTCTTCTTAGACTGAAAGAGAAAGGCCATAACCTGAACGAACACAAGTCTCAACAAGTTCATCCGGGGATTCTCCTTTCACCAGTGGTAAGCTCTCTAAATCCCTAACACACATGAGCTACAAACACAGAAACATAGCACCTTTATGGACTCAATCAACTTCAACAGCCGAGCATTTTGTGCATAATCTGGGAACAGTAGTTTGAGTATCAGACAGTCAAAGTATCCCGTAGAAACAAATGCTGAACACATTTCTCCACAAATATGGCTCTGCTCCACACACTTCTACAGAGGGATCACCAGCAGATAATAAAAAATACACACAAAGACACCGACTTTCTCCCATGCTAAGCACACAATCAGAACAGACAGCAAAGGTAAAAACGTAACTCTATGCAGACATGCGCCATCGCACTGCAGTGACACCCTCAGCACAGCAAGTTAATAGAGCAGTGCCACAACCACCATAACTCACTTCACTACCTCCATTGTCACCCCGGGAAATAATCGGCATTCAATGACAAGGAACTCCGCCTTTTTCAAAAGGATCAACGCCAATGGTCAACACTCAATGTCTTCTCTTAGTCTTGCAGGTGATTTGATTGACACCCTTCATTATAAAACTTAATTAGAAATTGTTTCAGGTTTATTTAAAAAGCAATGGACACGGTGATGGAAAAGAAAGAGGAGGAGAGAAAAAAGAAAGGAACACAGGTGGGGCAAAATGTTAAAAGGGAGAGAGGGAGACAGGACTAGAGTAGAGAAAGAAGGATAAAGAGAAGACAAGAAAGCACCCCAGGAATCTGCTTTTCCACCAACAGAGAGAGAGAACAGGAAACCGAGAAACCACTGCAGCAAACGACATATGCATTTGTAACGACGTCACTGAAAAGTACAACATACTAACTAATACAATTCATGCATTTAGTTGAAACTGCAGTCCAAGATAGAGTATATCTCTAAACATCTAAATACAAAAACCTGTGTGTGTGTTTCTGTATATCAGATTTCACCAATGTTAAATAGAAGGTGTGAGGAAATACACACCTGGAGAGAAATGATTTGCTTTATCAGGTCAAGCTTATTTGTATAGCACATTTCAGCAACAAGGCAGTTCAAAGTGCTTTACACATGTTAAATTGTGTTTTCCACAGTCCTCAGTGTTGCAAATACGCATGAAATGTGGGGTGTAAAGTTCAGGTCTTAAATTCTGAGGCATGATTATTTTTACTGGAATATAAATGAGCCATAAACCTAAACCACACCTGAAATCCAGAGCAAAAAGGCTAGAAGCCAGCTGTGTACATGCATTTACAGCACACTTGAAATGAACCTGAAGCATACTGAGCGGGACTTGAAAGAGTATATATACCTTGTTTATGAGAAACAGTAGGGACTGAGTAAGGCCGCAGTGCTTCTCCGCCAGAAAGCGGTATCTTCGTTCCTCCTCCTTCAGGATCTCCTGGTGGCTCTGCCTCAGGTAAACCATGTATTCACTGCTCTCCTAAGAAAAAAACACACACACACACACAGTAAAATATTTTGACACAAAAAGTGGCACAGAGGTTTCACTTCTGCACTGTCTCTGCGCATTATAGACGTACCAGAGAGTCTCTGAAGGTTCCTCTTCTAAGCTGTTTTTCCAGAGCTTCTGCCTGGTTTCTCACCTCCATCTCATACACTCTGCGGCTGCCCTGTAGCAAATTACACAGTTAAACTCTCCCGAATCTGCCTGATGGCGGTCCAATGAGTGATGTTCATGCTTGTGTCGATTAGCTCCTCTCGGCTGTCATTAATCCCAGTGAGGAAGCATGTTGCAAGTTTCCAAATGTTATTAACATTTCTGTAAAAACTTTTCCCTCATTAAGAGGCTGGCAGAATGCAGTGAATAACAAACCCACAGCGGAGATCAAGCTTTGCCATTCTTTTACAAGTTTTCTTTTTTAACTTTATTATAAACAAAAGTTTTATGATGGTCTTGTTACTTTTTTGGGTTAGTTCAACTCCAGGGATTTGTGCTAGATATAACACTTATCACACATTTACAGAAAACCTGCTGCTAAACTTGGTGGAATCTGGTCGTCTCCTCCAAACCATCGAGATAAACTTGGTCTTGACCAAACTGTTCATTTAGTGTACATTTAAACTCTAACTCTTGCAAAAACTTCTCTAATGACAATTCCTCATTTTAGGCCCCAGTAAGGCCTAGTGGACTCACTTCCATGTACTCCTCGTCCAGTTTGACGTTCTTCTCCATCGCTTGCAGCACCTCTATCTGGAACCACTGAAACTGATGCAGGAAGACAAGCGGCTCTGCTCAAGCTACGTCAGCCATGCTTACAAAAGCTCGTAAACCTTCAGCTGTTTATTTTCCCGTATTTAACAAAAAATGGGTTGAATTACATAATTTTGCAGACACTTTCAAGATGAAGGTTTTTTTCTTTTTTTAAATTTCGATGGGAAATGTACTCACCAACCCTTCCATCTCTGCAGTGAGCCTTCGCTGCGTTTCTGATATCTGGACCAGGACGTCGCCTGTTTAAAAGAATAACAAAAAGCATGTGTGTGATAAAAATGGATTATTTTATTGCTATGACCCTTCTTATGGTCTGCTTAGGAGTAAGATGTTTTTTTTATTCCAGTCAAGTGAGAAAAAATCTAAATATATAAATATAAATGACAGTGCTCTACATATGTATTTATAAGCTTGGTACTTATTTTGTCACTCAACACTCAATCTAAAAAGTTTTGCAAGGATTTGTAGTCAGCACCATTTATTGTGACACCTATAAATATAACAACAACAATTCACTTTCTTCTATTGAATGGACAGATTGCAGTAAATAAATAAAATTGGTGGTGCTACATATGATTTATTCAAGGAGGTTGAGTACAAACACACTTTTGCAATGTTGGATATACAGGAGTAAGTTTTGTTGGTCAGCTACATACAATCCCGATGAAACAAACTGAAGTTTGTGGTTTTCATTTAGTCTGTGTGTAAAAACTCAGGATGTGATGTTGGCACAGTGCCAAGTTCCCAAAGCATTTATAATCAAGGAATCTCTGCTGTTATAGTTTGTGGTTAAGTCACTAAACTGAGACAGTTATAGATAATCGTCTTGATCTATAATTCAAAGGACGCCATAGGGTGTGTGGTGACTGGTCCTCTAAATGACCTGAGAAAGCAGAACAACATTTGTCATGCTGTGCTAACCTTTCAGCAATCAATACAAACAAAGCAGCAACTAAACAACTGTCACTAATAAAACTACTGTAGCGGAGCCCGGTTTTGTTACCGTAGTGCATCTTCATGGGGATAAATGCGACGTGTTAAGTTAAAATACGTCAATACATTACAAATTTAAAACAGACAACTGTCTCACCAAGAGAATGAGAGGAAAGCGTATGCAGTGCCTGGTCACCCATCTTAGCCAGAGCGCTGAAGTAAGCTTCGCTGCAACCGGCTAAGGCTGCAAAAAACACACAGAGAAGCAAACATTTCAAACATGAAACATTACAGACAGACATTTCGGCTCTTCAGTAGCTTCACACATTTTTACTTTTATTTTTTTAACATGCGCTTAATGGGGTCACCTGGCAGCCCCGCTCTTACTCATTAGGAAAATACACCCTGAAGTGCCGACACCTGATCCGTGCTCCTGGTGTAGGAATAGACTCGTGCCAGAGGGTTTTGTATTACAACACTCTGCCACGACTGAAGGCCTGTTCTTGTTTCAAGAGGAGGAAGAGAGGCGCATGAACTATGCATGCCGCTCTCCCAGTTACCTGTGTTTCACTTACAATCCAGATTAAATGAAATCTAAACTAGCACGTTTTAATAAATTCTAGTGCAGATTTAGGTCAAAACTCTGCACTAAATACGAGTTAACATTTAAACATTTTTTTAAATGCCTGTTATATTCAATTTACCATTTGTTGAATTTGTCTGTGGGTCTTTTGGTTTCATTTTATCCCAACTTTTTTCCATTTTGTAACCCAGAACAAACTCACTCTTACCCATAAAATGAAACACTGTGCATCAGTCTGATTTACTTGTTTCTTGAGTTTCTTTGAATTATTAGGAGAAATATTAAAAATAAAATGCAAAAATTTTTGCACAGAATTTGATTTTAGTCTTTCATATTTCAAAATGAATTCACATTAAGCCTGTTTACATTAACTGAATCTCAGATCTTTATTCTGATCAGCTAATTTCAATGAAACATGAGAGAATGGGCCCTGATAAAATAGAAAAAATAATAATAACTATGATCTGCCTTCTGATACTGGATAATATTAGGAGCAAAAACCAGCCAGGCTTCACAATTTTCTCCTTGCTTAGTTTTCTAACATATATGCGACTAGTTCGTGTAAAATTTGATTTACATTTTACTATGAATTTCTAATATATATTTTTTAAGTTTTGTTTTTATAAAACTGAAAATTTAGAGTAAAGCATCACCAAAGCAAAGACATGTATTTTCATGCAAGCACTGATCAACTTGCTGACCTTGAAAAGCTTTAACATAGCTGTTTCCAAGAGCAACAAGCTTCTGAAGACCCGGGTTGAAATGCTCCATCAGGCTCTAGAACAAAGAAATATAGTTATGAAACAGAAAGACAAAACAATACTTGGCTGTTGTTTCACAAGAAAAAAAACATCATAAACTTACAGAGTAGACACTCAAAGTTGATTTGTGCAATTGATCACTGCTGACTCCTGACATAGTGACTTGATTCTTTAGCTACCAAAGAACAGAAAAACACCAAAAATACTGTCAGCTGCAAAAAGTCTGCACTCCCATTCAAGTTTGTGAAAAAAAAAAACGTATCTGAAGGCCCTTTCTAGGCGTCTACAGAGAAAGTGACTGGAGTTCCACCTTTTTCCTCTGCTGGCTAAAAGCTGGTAGCACTTTTCTGTCCCTCCTTTAGTCATTCAGCGGTGAGCTACTTAACTGGCCTGTCATCGCCCGTTTTCCTGGAAAGAGAGAGCAAGCATGAGTGGAGAGGAGAGAAGGGAGGAGGTGGCGCCCATATGACTGGATGAAATATTAAACTGAGACCTGAAAGGAGAGGAGAGCGCTCTATGACACATGAATCCACTCACCTGTGGGACGACCTGCACTGGAGTGGAACCAACCGCTGACCCAACGAGGAGGCAGAAAACAAGTCATTCAAACGGTTTCTTGCCAAGATTTTTCCTCAATTGTAACCTGAAAATAGCTTGAATTCACCAAAACAGATCAGTGGTTTGTAAAATGTAAGAACATCAGCAACCTGTGGTTTCTGTCTTCACTGCTGTATGATTATGAAAAACATAATCGTTCAAAAACATACGAGCAGAAATAAAATTGCAAAATTGTGTTAAAGATTTTGACTGTGATTTAGCAGTATTGTCATGACACCTTTAATTTTTCTTCACAATAACAGCCGATATCCTTGAAATTTGACTTCTTGTGGTTCATGAAAGTCAGAAAAAAAAAGTTCTTCCAAACAGGCAATTATGTTGTTCACAAGTGGATTTTAAAAATAGGATTACTCAGCAAATATTATACCATTGCAGTGCTTTGCAATAATTAAAATAAAATAATCAAATCAAACTTAGATGAAAATAGAAACATCAAATGTGATGTTGCCGTGGTTTTAATATGCAGAGTTAAAATGCGCACCTCGTGCTATAAAAATAACATCTTTCATAATGTCTTTATTTCCTCCTGTTTTTGTATTTGGTATTTTCTTCAAGAAACATCATAATCCAAATAAATCTAATGGTAATAAATACTGACAAAATGCATCAGACAAACATCAAAATATTTAGGAATTTTTTTCCTGAAGGATGCCATGAGGACAGCACACAAATTAACATGATGAAAACTAAATGAAATTCACTGAAAACGTACAAGTCATGGAAGGAACATTGGCCTGTTTAAAGTCATTATTTTTAAATGTAAACCTCATCTTAACAACACAAAATGTACAAGACAAAGCTTTCATATTAAAAACTAAGCTTACTAACCGACAGGTGAAATCCCACCTTTTTGTGCAGGAACGCTGTATTTTCAATACTGAACCACAATACACTAATAAAAACACTATCAGTGGACAGCGGCAGTAGACAGCAGAGTGCTATCCGCAGTATGAAAGTTTGATGAGTTGGCACATTGGCGCTGGAGGTCCAGACATGTCAGATTGCACATTGCACTTGTCAAGAGTTTCCAAACAATAACAGAGGCGCCGCTGACAGAGTGATCAAATCTCATGGGTGTTGTGTGTCTTCAGTATGTGGCAGTATTTTGCAATCTACAAACTAGACTGTTACTTCCAGCTCTACCATATTATAGTGGTTTTATAGCAAAAGGTATGACAAATACTGATCATTTTGGATTTTGAATATATGTTACTACAACTGCGGGAATTGAAAAATGTAATCCTGACTTTATGTTTGGAAGTAATAGCATAGATGGGTTGTGTCCTTATAATCTTTTTGTTCTCTTATTTCACATCCGCAAGGTCGTCGTAGATGACATCTTCGGCCCCTGCGTCGTCTTTATGTTGCTCCTGGCAACGACTTACAGTCTCCAGCACGGTTTTCAAACGCCGACTCAGTGCAGCGAGATGAGGCTCAGACAGCAGCGGGGCCACCTTGTGAAGTGGGTCCTGCGACAGCGACGCCCTCATGACGTCACTGATGTGGTACTGAGGCAGAGACAGGAGGCGGAGGCGCAGCCAAGTGGAGCGGCGGATCCTGAGGACGGCACAACAAAAGGGACAATTGAGAGGAGAGTAGTTAGATTAGATACGGAGAGAAAACAAACCAGATATTTAAGGTTCTTGAGTGTTTACACCCTTTAAATGTTATTGTATAACAAAGACTTTAATCAGCTTAGATGTGATGGGATGCATACTTGTAGAGTTGCAGGAAAATACTTAGCTTTTAAGATTGATCAGACATAAAAAATCTACAAAGTGTGGCATGCAATCCCTGCAATTACAGCTGCATATTTTTGTACAACGCTAGCATTTTTACACCTCTTGGTGTCTGTTGTTCTTCCATAAAAAAAACAACCTAAGCTCAGGTCGGTCAGCTGGAGAGTGTGTGTGAACAGAACTTTTCAAGTCTTGCCACATATTTTTAATTGGATAATTGGATTTGACAAGATTTTATTGAAAGGGCTGTATCATGTATTTTCCAAGCACATAGAGCCATTATAGCACAATCAATTAACTATGTGACTATGAATTGTAATGAAATTGCTGTATATATCACATTAATTTGACAGTGCAATTTCACGGGCTTCTTTCCCTTTAAGAAGCTCCTGCTCTTTCCGACACGTCATCAGCATAGAAAGCCTCCATAAAGCTTTTTACAAAGTTTTATGGAGCCCTACACTGAAAAATAGTTCCTATAGAGCTCAGCAGCTGTGCAGTCCCAGCAGGAGTTTACTAATTGCTGCTGCCACTAGTCTGATGGAGCTGAGTAGGGGAGTGAGGCAGAGGCTCGGAGACTGCTGGAAAAAGTCGAGTTTACATAATACCGCCCCTTTAAAACCACTTGGAAAAAGGTAAAAGACTGAATCATTTTCTCTTTTCTTTTCATACCTGCAGCACTGTCGTAGTGGGGCTAGAATCGACGGTTCATCTTTTGAGTGACGCCCAAATCTGGATCCCAAGAAAATAAAAGTCACAAATGTGAATAAAAATGTTTCTGGCAAAATAACAGCTAAGAACTGCATTAAAAACCTCTAAAATACTCACGCCCTTCCATTGTCAAGATGCAGCAGGAAAGTATTGTTGCCAAACTTCTCAAAGGTTTCATAATGATGCCTGTCCAGATTACCTAGAAAAGAAAAAAAGATGGGTTCCATCTTCCTCATTTTACAAAATGGATATACATTGATTTTTATATATTGTTTTCCTGTTTAAGAAAAAACAACAACTGCTTATTAGTGATTCTTTTAATTACCAACTTATTTACTCATGTACTTTTCAATCATTTACCGTAGAGAAATTCAAGAAAACTCGACAAAATAACAAGAAACTCACAGTTTTAACAAAAAATTTTAATTAAACCCTCCTTTTAAAATGTTACAAAGTTGAAGGAAAATGCATAACGGTAAATTTTGACACTTCACATGAAGTTAAAAGGATTAATCCCATCACAATAAAGCAGACGTTAGGCGACCTCACTCTGGGACAGAAGTCACAGCGGCTCAGAGGAGTCAGAGTGTACTCACTAATCTCACCCTCCTCAAACTACACAAAGCAGGATTGAGCTTGGCACAAAGAGGAACTTTAGTGATTATGTTAACATCGCTCAGTTCCCAGGTCCCACTGTCTCCCTCCTCGCTCAGATAGATGGGACAGTAGTAGACTGGTAAATGCGAGGCAGTCGGCGTAGCTTGAAGATTGCCTACATCTGTTAAAAATGAACTTTTACAAGACAAGGTATCTATTGCAGTTTTTCTGCTCCTGACTTGAGCCTTGACACTAAGAAACGGCATTGCACACGGCAGAGGGGAGACAGCTTCCTGCAGGGCTCCCGACTCTGGATCCCACGAAGCCCCTATCAGCTGCAAGCCACACAAACGCACGGCATCTGCACGAAGCAAGATGGGGAACGTGCCCTCAGGCAGAACCTGGGGAGGCAAAAACAACAAGTTACGGTGATGAGTCACCTGGGTGTAAATCTATTGTATTTACTGAAGCAGGAGTTCAGAATTTTTGAAGTGAGGTTCTGTTGAGAGCTCAGGGTTTAGCCCAGAGAACTATAAATAAGCCTGGTGGGCCACCAGGCTTAACTAGTCCACCCGGCCAGACTAAGCATAATTTATTTACATTTTTTTTTTTTATACTAGTAACATTGATAGAAAAGATGAGTTATAGTGGGAACAAAAAGCAGCACATACACAAGGATGACTATTTCTGACTGAGTGGTGTGTTTCTGCAGATAGAAGTCGGAGCTTGATATTTTTGTACACATTACCTGTCACACTAGTGACAGTTTTAACAAATATGGAAATATCCCTTTTTTATACAAATTACACACTGCAGATTTAATATGACACATATATAGAACATATAAAAAAAATTGTAAAATAAATAACGTGTGGACTCCATCCTACATTGAAGTATTCAGAATTAACAGCCTGAATGTGTGGCAATGCCTTAAAGACTAGAAACTCACTTTAAAAATCCTACACTACATTTGAAACCTTTATCCTCAACCTGAAAATGAAGTATTATATCGCTGACGTATTTGTAATTTTCCAGAGCAGCCTCTCGCATCAACGCCAGCAGAAAGCCTCTGGGCTTTCTGAAAGCTGCTAGTCGATAAGCATCTGGTGGATGTGAGGCGCCGTCATAGCCAAGGTAAGCACTGAGCAGCTTTGCCCTCTCCTCCAAACGAGACAAGTCTGTGAACTTCAACAGGGAGGCGGAGAACGGAGTGAACTCATCGCCCTGCTGGAGCTGTGAGAGGTGCAGGGACACTAAATCAATGAGATCGTCCCATTCGGCCTGGAGGAAGTCACGGACAGGATTGCGAAAAGCGGCGGCCTCTTCTTTAATTCTCTTGTCTTTCTTGCTTGTGAGGTAATTCTTCAGATCTTGGAGTCTCTGTTCTGCTATGTCGGCTGGCAGATTGGTAGTCAGATCCTGAGTTGGGCTGAAGCTCCTCTTTGTCCCTAACGGTGATTGGGACCCTTGAAGCAATACGTTCAGATTGTGGCTATTGATTTTGTCAACTTCAGGGGCCACATCGGCACTGAAGCCGAGCAACACCAGGTTGCTCATGGCTAAATCCAGAAAACGTCGATCCAAAACATGAAGCAGGCTTGGTAAGTCTAAGAAAGGAAGACAATAACATTGTGTTAATGCTGAGCAGATTCCCAAGTCATTATCATGGTACAAGGCTACTCTTAAATGCCAGAAATCCAGTTAATGTTCATAGAATTGGGTAGTAACAAGTTACATTTCCTTTCGTAAAGTTTTGGAAAAAATTTACAATTATGTTATTGATAGAAATGATTTTCATATTAGTCTTTAAAATACCAAAATTTTCACATATTGTTATAATTTGGTCCATCTGATTACATACTTTTTAAATACTAAATGATTGCCGTATTGGTCTGGCATGAAAGTCAATGAGGATATGGTCAAAATATTCACTTGCCTAATAATTGTGCACAAAATGCATAAAAAAAAAACACATCCAAAAACACGTTTCACTATTCTTTTGCTTCACACGCAGAGGTCAATCACGTAAAATCACAAAACAGAGATAAACTCCATGGGTATAGCAAGACAAAATGTGTCAAATTTCAAAAGTCTGAAGATACTTTTGCTCAACGGCGAAACAATGTTAAATACTTAAGTCTATTAATGGCATTTCAATAAGGTTACATAGTTACCGTAATGGGAATAGCCCTTGATCATTTCTGAAAGGATGCACGGTCCAATGCCTGAAAAGGACGGCTCTGTAATGAAGCAACATTTGGCGATACTGTCCACCAGCTCTGAATCTGCAGAGTCTATTATGTGGCCGCCGTGAACAACACATGCTACAAATACAAGCAACATGCGGTTAAAGCGGGCTCTGAACTAGAGAGACCGTTGTATTCTTCCATGGCTTACCTGCTATGTAGCGTAAAGCGTTCCATTTGTCATGGCACTGACCGGTGAAGTTGATGTATGCGTCTAATAAAGCATTGAGGTCATCTTGACTCCTTTATAAAAGGCATTAAAAATATATGAATGAATTCGAAATTTGTTTACAAGTTAAAAAACAAAACAAGAAAAACAAAACTGCACATTTAGAGTTGAAAAGATTTGCCGTTTTCATTACGACGTTGTTACTTACCAGTAATACGTTCTCCCAAAGCTCAAATATTTATAGGTCTGCCTCTGCATTAGAACTGAGTGAAAGACGGCACAGCGGAGAAGCACCTTCATGTTGTCACCTATGACATGCGACCACGACTGATGCTGACTGACTGAGAAAACCTGTCTGAAGGAAACACGCATCTCCTCTTTCAGATTCGAGGGGGAGTCAAAGCACAGCGGTAGGGCCCCCACTCTCACAGAGACTGTGAACAAAATAAAATGTAAATAAAACTGAACTTCTTTTGACAACATAACTGCTTTAAATAAAACAGTAAGAAATAGTGGTCGCTAGACAACAGCTTTCGCAGAGGATAGATTCAGTGCAATAAAAAAATATCTGTGGCCAAGTACCATGGATAGTTACAGAGAAGAATTGCTGCTACTGTAATATTTTCATAAATAAACAGACTATCATTAAGTACATATGAACTATACCTGGTAGAAATTTGGCTGCATTTTCTGTATTTACAAACCACAAGCGAAAGCCTGGATGAACCATGACTGTCTCCTCTGGAAGTCATGGAAACATGTGGACAGAAAAACAGACGGATTAGCCACAATATCAATTAAATATGTTCTGAATTTACAATAGAAGAAAAAGAAAT